AATTGCAAAACACATTTTCTTGAAAGCAATTCTTATATAAATAAATTTCACTGTGCAAAGGCTGTTGGCTACATATGATGCAATAAATCAATTAAGGGGCGAACACTAAAGTTTAAGACAGTTCGGTTTGGCAAGAGTTTTTCATAGAGAGTAATAATGCGCATCAAAATGAAATATTTTTTTAAGAGGCCACATTAATAGGTTAAATTTGGTGTATCATACATAATTTTCGAAAATGGGTAACACAGGAATAAATTGGTTGAAAAGTAGGAGTTAGCAAAAAAGAGTGATCGCGTTCTACAAAATTAAAGCGAACAGGTACTCTGAACCTACATAGAATTTTTAATCAGGAAGATATTTCTAGACCAAATATCTTCTCCCACATAAAAATGGTCAAGGATTTCGAAAATGTTGATTTCAAAAAGCCATCTAACCGTCCAGGAAAGTTATCGACCACGAGAGTGAAAAATATAATTAAATTTTTTATCAAAACTAAGTCATCCACTTTGACATTTGTAGCTGCTAGAAGTTTCAAAATTCCAAGAAACTACTTATCATAGATTAAACTCCACTAATTGTTGTGCAAACCTGGTATAAGAAAGCCAGCACCAAATTACAAGTAGATACAAAAGATTGTTAAAAGCAGTCCGAAATTTTTGGAGAAAGTGTGTGAAAAACTGGTGACCAAGGATGACGCAACGTACGTCGCGGTCTACACTTCAAGTCTTCCAGAATGTCATTTTTATCATAGATCTAACCTCGCTGACGTTCTCCGTGAAGAAAAAGTGTGGAAAATAGCCGAATGTCAAAAGAAATTTGCATTTGAACATGCACGTTCAGGTCGCGTCCACATTTCAAATCCCGTCACTCTCGAATGATATTTTAAGCGACCTGTGTATCTCACAAGTGGTACCAAGGCCGGATTGCAAGCATTTATAAATAAGTTTCATAATAATGTCCAGATTTTATTTTGGTCGGATCTTGCAACTCCTCACCACGCCAACATCTGTAGTTACCGAGTACCTCAAAATTAAAAATATAGAATTGGTGCCCAAAGAAATCTAGGCACAAACTATACCTCAACTTTATCCGATCTTAAATTGCTTGGCATTTTCCAAGTCACCATACTCTGGGCTAATCTATGTGCCCAATACTCCTCGACAATTCATAGCTAGATGGAAGAGAATTAGCGGGGAAAGTTGACAAACGTGAGAAAAGAATTTTATGAGAAATCTCAGATAAAAATTTTCACTACTCGCTAATGTGGGCGTGGAATCTTTAACTTCTGACTAAATTAGAAAGGTTCATGTCTGCTAATATACATATGCAAATATTTTCAGATTTCGCAAAATAATTCAGGTTTTACAGGATATTCTATGAAGGTGTCTTAAACTTTAGTGTCCGCCCTATATCGAAGAAATATAAATTATTTAGGATATTTGTTACATTATAGAAAACCTTAATTGCTGATTATTGAGATGCAAGGGAAGGATCTTCTCCTTCACCATTCTTTCTCACCTCAGTTTCATGATGGAAGGGGACAACTAGCCTGAGAGGAAGATGCTCTTTTAGGATGAAATGCTGGAAATGAGAGAATGGTACGGTCCCAGAGTATGGTGGGGGTAGAGATGCGTGCACAAAATCGTGAACACCAAGAAAATGCGTCCTTCTCCACGAACGACGCACAGTATACAAAAGTAGTGAGAGTCCAATGGACGGCTTGAGGAGGGCTTTTAAAGTGTGACTGTTCGAGTATACTGGTGGAAGACGACTGCTTGATCCCATAGTATGTGTCCAAGACCAGAAGAATGTCCAACTCCTGGCTTGGCATCTTTTAGGTGAGTGAGGGTTGAGTAGTTTTGGGAAGAATGGATTACGGAAATTTGTCCCCACCAGGTAACGTCAAATGATTAAACTTAAAGACTTAAATGGATACTGTGAGAAATATTTCTTCAGGATAAATGACACCTGGAATGACGTAAGAAAATCCCAGGACACAGACATAATATTTTTAATGCCGAGTCGAAAAATTGTTTATTTGTTTTTTAATGACGTTTATTGACGTCAATTTTTGGTATGAGGTTATAATAACGAGTGTCACAATTCTGGCATTTCATGGGCTCCTTACTTTAGTATTATTTCTTCTAACACACGCTCTGTAAGTGGTCAAAGCCAAGTCATATGAACATATGAAATGTGTACAGTAACTATTTATCTTGTTAAGGCATTTAGTTCTACCGTAGGGTTGGATGTAATAGTATGCTATAGTTCTAATTACCCAGTTAAATTAATAAACCAAATGAATACGAAAATAACAAAGCAGCACGTTTTGTTTATCTTATGGAGAAAGCCATAATTTATTTATCTTCCGTTTAGGAATGCTTTTGCTTGTTCTACTTATGTAATAGTTTGTGCAAAATAAGCTACAATTTTTGGCGTGCTAGTATTACTGTCATTCCTCAATACGTATAATACGAACTAAAGCTCTAGAATTGACATTTTCCTTTTATTTTAGACAAGAAAGCAAATTGAACTTGCATTTTGTACAATAATCTATGTTTATGTTATGGACACGATTTCTGAACATTAGACAAACCTCCACAACAAATGCAAGTTCCACCAAGCAAACGCTAGACTATTCTGCTTTTGCTTTTTCTTAATACATACTTGTGCAATAGCTTGTGACAAAATAAGCAAAAGTTTATTGCCTGTACAGAATTATTGTTCCTCAATACGTGTATGAACTACAGCATTAGAATTGATATTTTCCTTTAATTTTAGACAACAGCGCAAACTGATCTTGCATTTTGAATCATTAGCTATGTTCATATGGTGGACACGATTTCTGAACGTTCCACAACCCTCTAAAACAAATGCAAGCATCGCGAGGGCAAGCAATATAAGGGAAAAATAATAACAGGGCAGCATCGATTCCTGGTAGATCTTTGCAGGTTGGTCCCCCTCCCTGTTCTTCCAATCGTTAAACAAGACTCTTCGCAAGTATTCTATTTTATAGATTTTCGTATCTTGTGAATTAGTACGAGCTACGCTAACAATTAAAAGAGAGTGAAATCGTCCTTGCAGACCTCCCTCTATCATTCACAGCCATGATCTCCTAGAAATTCTCATTATCAACTAGGATATATTTATGACTTCGTGAATCACGAATCGTGATCCAATGCTTCTAGTGAAACACAGTAAGATAAAAATATTTGGAGCTTCACTTTATATAATTAGATAGGCATTTATGTATTTTTGTATAACCGCCTGCTCATGGCAATCAATAATGTATAATATCTAAGTACTGCACGCTATACTTGTCTCATCTATTCAAAACATGAAACCTAATATTAATTCTGTAGAAGGTAGAGACGACATCAAGCAAACTATTTTTGTATTTAATAATAATAATACATCTATATTTTGTAATAATAATATGTATAATAATACATGTATGATCTTAAATTTCTTAAATTTTGCATGTCGGACAAAATATAGTTATCGATAATAAATAGATTGAAAAATATCAGTCAGTGGCCGTCAGAAGTGTGCGAATAGAAATTTCGAAACTTCATATCCCTTCAATGTTGGTATGCCCCTCCTCCTATTCTTACTATGTTAATGTCCGAAACTGTCATCATAGCTTTCACGGTGACTGGTAAATATCTCGGGTAAAAATTTCGTCCTTCAATCGAAACGAAATTAATTTGAGCAGTTTCTGTTTAATGTGAAATATAGAATCATTAAATGAAATGAATGAATTTTTATTTCAAAATTAATAAGCAGTAGAAATTGATTGAATATGTAGTTGAATAGAAAATGAATATTTTTTATGCACTGAAATTCCTCAACCAAGTCCACAAATATGTGCTTATATGCCGTCCAGAAGGGTCACAAAATTTTTAAATTGTGTGATAGTGTGATTTCTATAGTGATGCCTGTTTACTTAATGTTGTAAATATTTTAAGGAAAGCAATCTTGATAAAACTACAGCTCAGAAGATTATCACAATTCGTGGCAGCAGTTATAAATTATTAATGATTTATACTGAAAATACAAGTTTATTTATAAGTAAAAAATATCATTCAATCAGGATAAAAAATTCCACTATGCAGAAATAATTTTGTTAAAAAATTACGATGATATCACCATAATGCTGAGAATCATGGTTGGTGAATTGAATATGAATGAGGAGTAATATTTAAGTTTCAATATGGGGTCATAAATAGCGAATGGGACAAATTGTCTGTAAATTCTGGCTTCATGTCATATGGTCGTATTAAAAAGTAAGTATGCACTTAGGTTTTATTAAAATATTCAGAAGGGGAACATATTTACTTGTTTGACAAATTAGTGCGACGATATTGAGAAATAGTTTCCGGCTTGGTAAGTACAAATATTTATGACAACCAGGACCTATTTACTTCGCTTTAGTATGGTCCACATTAAAGTGTGATCTTGAGTCATTAAGTTTATTCGGTGGAAAATAACAAAATTTTAATTCCAGATGTGTCTGATACGCGGAATTAATGAATTATAATTTTTAATAGTGTTAAATTGGCCGCGGAAGTTGGGCGCATTAATATTGAATGATATGAAAAACCTAACAATACGGTCCTGGGATGCGAAAAATAGTATCTTTGTCATGTAATAAAATTCGAAGAGAAAAAATGTAGAGATAGTTATGAAATTACTTCTTAAAATGTAAAGTGTTGGAAAATATTCACGCAGTTTTATTCTGACAAAGAATTTTGAAATTAATATTTTTTTTGGTAAGAAACTTGCAACGGTATGGGGACAGAAATTTCGTTGCCCTCAATGATCCCTGGGCGCCTGCAGTGTTCCACTAATGCATAAATATGTAACTGAATTCTTGGTACGACGACGTAATATGTATCTGTCGGGACCGGCTCATTTTCTCGGAAGGATATTGTTATTCTGAAGCACGTAGATTTTTCACTGCCAAGTGTTACTCATATTAATTATCTATGGATTTATGCATTATATTTACTATCCGGTATAAAAACAGCTGGGAAGACAGGGAATATCAGAACCAGTTTGGGCAAGTGAGAGAAAACTTGAATAATAAAAACCAAATTGAAAATCAATTCGAATCATCGGGACTAGTACGTTTAAAATTTCTTAATTTAGTGTAGGATTTATTATTATTTTATAGGTTTAAAAAGGCTGGAACGAAGTCATCTCTGGTGTAATGGTTTTATTCATAATTTGCACTTTATTTATAGAAGCGAGATTGGCGGAATTTTTTGAATTATCATAAAACAAAGTAAATTCTTAACATTGCCAGACAAAGTGTTAATTGCTCTTGATTTTATTTTATTTTCAGAAATGCACCAATCAACTAAAATTGTCTTCCTGTGCGTGATCGTCCTGGTGGGGGTCGTCTCGGTAACGGAGGGGCAGGTGGGGAGTTCGGGATGCAGCAGGAAGTGGGCGCCTGCAGGATGGTGTTGGCGCTACTGTTCGGGATCGTCGGGGAATTGGTGCTACACGGGGCGACAGGGGCCATGTGAGACTGCGACTTGTGTTGGTGGATCCTGTTCCGGGATCAGCTGTCGCGGCGCGGCGGCGGGGTGTGTTGGGCACTGTTGATAAAGGGTGCCATTTATGTGAATGCTTGTTGACGACCGATAATCAAATTTAATTTTAAACTGTAATAAATACATATTGATTTATGGTATCATATATAAATATTTTGGAACGATCACATTTTTATTGACCGTTTTATTGACCGTTTGGTGACCGTATAATGAACTATAGACGTACATGAGTGTTTTCTCCAAGCTAATTTAACACAAAGTTTGAAACTTCCACGACCAAAAGTAAAAATTGCATTATATTTTAATTTCGTGCCCAAAATATAATAATGCAGCCTTATGTAGATATTATATAAAAAGTGAACCTGTTGTCGCGTTATATATGATTTTTGTGAGGTGGGGTGAGATTTGGGTAGGAACGTCAAATATGTAAACACGTAGCCGTCAGTTCCATTATTTAATTTGCTATGTCTGCCTGTAAATTATTTTTCCTCTCCAAACTTGTTAACCTTCAAATATGACCTGTAATTGTGTGTGTGCGTGTCCACCTTGTGATTGGTGTATTTAATTTAGAGTCGGCCCCTCAGGCCGACTCTCCTAATAATAATTGTGCAAAGCTTTCAACATTCTCTTTTGTGTGCTCGAGGAGGAACATTCGGCCGTCACAATCTAAATTAGAGAATCACCCATTGTAACAATAATTTGAAACTGTGACCATTAAACCCTAAATTTGTGCAAATTACTCCTCCTCGACTTGTCTAATCTGCGACCATTAATTTCGCCAAGCCGCCCCCACCACCGCCGTCGCCATCATCACACCATCGCCATCACTTTGCACACACTACATAGTAATAGTCGCCATCCTCTCACGCCAACCAGGTCATCATCACACAGTTTATGTTCTCACTAACATAATGGTCTCGCCCTTCCGAATCATCCAGCCCTTGGGAGTTACGCCCCAATAGTGAGAGGACCTTTCGCCAAAAGTGTAGTGAGTTTGTGCAAAGTGGGAGAGGGAGAGGAAGAAGATCACCCTGTAAATAATTTGAGATTTGTAAATGGGAGATGCATGTATGTGAGACAGGGTACGTCATGGATTTAAAATCAGATTATATAAAGAGAGAAATCTCGCATATCTGATATCTAATTGCGTTAAAAAGGATTTTACATTTTACATTTACGTCAGTTGTACTTAATTGGTAAATATTATAAGTTTGGTGAGAACTATGTACACCACGGCAGGGGAATCATATTTATGTATATGGATCCCTACGGCTTGAATTTTAATACCAGATTATTTGCAGGGCAGATAAATATCTATGCAATGCAATGCAATAAATTCTTTATGTAGTAATTTATTATTTATAATTTACATAGGGTCAACCGGGGTGAGTTGGGTTGCATATTGCGTTGCATCTGTCGCTTCATGCAAAATAGGCTAATGATTTCGAAATTGGCTCTGGCTTCTAGCATTTCTTGATGTGCAGTGCAGGAAATGCTAGAAACAACCAGCAAAAAACTAAACATTGTTTATACAGTTAAAAAAAGTTTTTAGTGGACTGGTATAAATTTGTGTCCCGATTAGAGCTCCAAGTGTAATTGACATCTAAATTATTCATTCTAAACTCCAATCATAATTTTTATATCGAAATTTATTCGCTAAAAGGTGCCTACAATGTGTAGTTAATTCATAATAGTGAAGGGCTTAAAGTGGAAAACATAGTTGTATTAGTTCGGTAGAATTGCACTGCATCCGGTGAATCCATTTAACCTTGGGAACTGTGAAATTCGCAGATTCCTTGACCTTGATCAGTGGTGGCGCAAGATCTATGATTGTCCGCAATGGCGGTACAAGTGGTCACGTAGGTCGCCGGCGTGGTCGTGTCTGGTGGACTGGGGCACTCGTAGATGGCGTCAAGTAGGCATCCATCCTCCTCATCGTACTTGATCATCTGCATTATATCCTGAAAAGAAGTTAACAAATACACTCAAAATAATTTATTCACAACATTTCCTCTAGTATATACGCTATGCACTTCGGATACAATTTGTCACCGCATGCGGTAGCAAACACGTTGTGGCTGAATCCTGGAAGAGTGTCACCGAACTGGGAATAAAATTTTGTCAAATCTGGGGACAATTGATTGCCGGTGTTTCGTTTCTACCGCAAGGAATGCAAAAACTCCAGCTAACAACGCGCCCTATTTATGTATTACTTACGCTTACACCCATGAGTAAAATATCTAAAGTAGGAATGTTAAAACTTTACAGCTTCTGGCTACACAATGTTGGTTTCTGGATTTTATGTAAAACCGAGGGCTTACAAGACGTACCGATCACTTCGACAACCCTACAACTTAATTCATGAGTATATCAGTGTGCAGATGATATTCAAACAAGTCATGTCAATATATGGATTCTGGTTGCTTGTCATGCACGCGTTCATGGGGCAGTTTGCGTTATTTTGCAATTATTCTGTAATCAAGTACTGGGACCAATTGAATCCGTTAACCAGGGTAAGAAATGATGAATTGTTAAATTAATTTAGAATCTAGGCGGGGATTTAATTTAAAATCTCAGATACTTCTCATAGTCTGGAGCGCGGTAGTTCTAATCCCTTGGATTTCATTCCTCCACGTGTCCGGGAACTTTTACCAATTATCGCAGAGAACTTTGAAATCTTGGAAGGAAATTAAATGTAGAAATACATTGGAAAGAAAATATCTGTCAAAATCGAGAAAGGCATGTCGACCATTGAAAGTGGGGGCGGACGGTGTATTCACAATTAAACGATTGACTGTGTTGAAGTTCATTAGAGGAATTATAAAGGGGACTTTTAGGGCAATGATGACCATTGGAAGGAAATGAATTGTCTGCAACAAATTATGTTTATGTACAACGCTATTAAAATAATTCGCTAAATAAAAATAATGCTGAATATGTTATGACGTAATTTTATACATTTTGTAGACGAGTTATTTTTATATGTTACTTGCTCAAAAACCATGTAATTCGTCAAGTCCTAAGCGGGAAATTTATTTTACATTTTCTTGTCCGGTATGGTAATCTGTAGAGACTTATCGTTGGTATGGCTTATCGGTATAACGTTACTTATAATTATAATTATACGTTTCCGATTATTTTCCACCAATTATGATGTTTATAATGACAAGGCAACATAAATTAAAAAATCATTAAAAAAATATTAATAACCGCAATACATGTTCATCGAAAATTCATAGAAGGGTTACTTAATCAAAAATATTGTCTGAAGAAGGGTACACTGGAAGTAAAATCATTTTAAGTAACTTTAATTTCAAAGTAGCCTGCATCCTTTTTAAAAGTCTAGTCAAGCTTTGTAAATTTAAATGAGAATATTAATCCTAAAATCATTAATCGTAAATATGGACACAAAATAATTTCAAGAGGGACTAGGTTATGATGAATATAAATGAAATACTAATATGTGTTCATATTTTATTGCAAATAAGTTTTAATATCTTCAACAAATATTAGTAACTTTGGGTAAAAATCAAACACGCAATTCCGTTGGAACCAACCGAGGCGCCTAATGATTTATCAAAATGCACGCTCCGATATTTGGAGTTATGGATCGATTTAATTCAAAGGTGTCAAGTTCCCCATGCCATTTATCTTTGTTGGCGGGAATGTTTAAATTTTGAAATATTGTGTATCTAACGTGAAATTTCATCAGCAACACGGATCAGAAAACCAAATCAAGTTATCTCAATCCGGTAAAAAATGGTAGCCAAAACATCAGGACAAGTTGCAAATCGAGTTTGCCACTCGTGCTAAAAAGTATGGCTTCGCGACCGAAAAAAAAACGCGTCAAAATTTTCTAGTCCAAAGAATACACTTTCCCACAATTGGTCGTGTATTACACATATATTAGGCATGGGGGAACGCTAATTTCAAAAGAAAAATTCGTCATCCAGATGTGCTGGGGTCCCCGAAACAAATGAAGAGCTTGCAAGACGCGAACCCCAATAACCCAAACACAACGAACCGCTTTGCAGCCAGTACGTTAGGAATATGAAGATCATATGTGCGTTATATTGAAGCCAATAAGTTGTGCTTCAAGATGTATAAATCAAATTAGGTCCAAAAATTTAACTAACATCAAAAAGTAATTCCAAATCCAACTGTCGAAAAATGTATTAAAAAATTCTCGAGCAAAGTATCTCTAGGTTATTCGTCAGGGATGACGAAACCTACTGCCCTGTGGCTCCCGAAAGTGTTAATTTCTTGAAGTACTACTAATGTGCTAATAAAAAAATGCAAAATTAAAATATAGATTCTATCCTAAGGAAAGATATCTCAAAAAGTATCCGATTTGTCGCGCGTTGGATGAAAATGGAAGGGTTTAAGAAACATCCAGTATCACCAAGATATTAAATTATAAATTGCACACGATACATTGCATCTTGAAGAGCTTGATCCCCTTCATCAAAAACAGGGATATTTTGTGTTGACAGGACATGTTGGGCCCCAATAAGGCCAAGACTGTCACCGACGCTTGCCGATCCCAAAAAGTTGATTTTGCAAAAAAAAGGTAATGCTCCAAACGTAGGTCACGCGCCCCCAATTGAATGATTTTGGGCATTAATCAAGAGAGGATGTTCTAGACGACAAAAACTAACAAAAATTTTCGAAGAATTTGCGAAAATCATGCGAGAAATTCTGAAATGAGTGGACAAAACGAGTGGCGGAGCCCTTATGGTGTCCTTCAGGAAAAACCTTAGCTCCATCGGACGGAACGGAGTATATTGGCCATTGAGGGGTCGAAATAACTAGTCAATATATAGATCTATAACTCCTCAAAATTTCATTAGAGTTCATTCAGCGATTCATTTTTTATAGGTCTTTAAGTTTTGACACCATCGAATTGAATCGATCCATACATCCCTTGACGATAGATCGTGTCGGAGTGTTAGCTAGATAGAAGTATTCAATTAACTCCAATGTTTCAATGCATGTCGAGTTTCCGGAAAAATCCTCGTTTTCGAACACAGTCCAACTTGACCGTAAGGATGGCACCACTAGGAAGATATCCGAAATTTGTGGCAGCTAAGTCTATAAATGTTCGTTCAACTTCACCAGCAATGTAGTTACTAATTCCGCTGTAGATGGAAATAGAAGGGGCTTCTGTTTCCAAGGGTCCCACATGCCGCAGAGACATTATAGGAGGAAGCGTGAGATTTCTACACACCGTAGCCCCATCCAGATCACGTTGATTAAAGAGCAGCGAGGTTTCGAAATTTGTCGAATTGAATCCCATCCACCTAGGAAAGTTAAATTAGGAGTTAAAATTAAAGAATTTGTTTTTCTACTTTGTGTGACGTTGATTAAACTAAAAATGTGTTTCCAAAACTATCGTAAATGGGCGGGACAATTCATATCCGCCAAATGTGCTTTCTTAGGAAAAAAAATTACATAGAGTAAATATTCAAGTAAGGAAGTACTTTAATTAGGAATTAATTAATTAATTAAAGAATTAGTTATTGCTTTCTAATTAAGTGGGTTAATAAGTCGTGATTCGAGTGCCTTACTTATGCCAGATCTCAAATTCGTTTTATCGTGAGATAAGTCATCGCTGAACAGAAACCTGACTTAATATAACTTTCGCATGTGTTTTTTAAATATTGCATACCATCCAGTCAAGCAGTAAGACTTGACGTCCCTCAATAACTCCGAGTAGAGTGGAGTGAGATCTGCCTCCTTAGTTCGGAATCTAAACGCATTTCCTCCAGAACCGGCCCTGTGTAGAATGTCACCTCTTGAATAAAACCAATTACGAAGTAGATGCAAGTGGCGAAAGAAATAAATCGTAAGAGGAACATTGTGACGATAATTGTTCTGTGAGTTGACTAATGACGTTGTTAACAACTGGTTGTATTTTATACGAGTTCTTATTGCATCATACCGTCACCGAAGGGGCAGTAAGTAGTGTTACCTGTGTCAGGATAATATGTATGTACCTGGACCCAGTTGATGTTCACTTGAGATAATTGAAAAAAATATCCATGGAATTTATACTCAGTTGAATGTAAATAATTATGTAATGGTCAGGGAATTGGCTCGTGTTATCGTAAAATGTCAATCCTGTATGTATTTGTTGATAACGACTTATTTATTCAAAGCGAAATCTTTTATAAATTAATTGGTTTGTGATATAATAATAAAATTTGTTCTGCAAAATTCTGCTGGGTGTGAATTACCGGCAGTAATTATCATTAGTTGATATGAAATCTTACTATGAATGGCTGTGAAGAAGAGTGAAAATCAAATTAGGGATTTGTGTCCTGGTATCTGCACTCAATAACCGCTTGTATTGATAGGTGACTCTACCGCCATGGTATTGATCCGGTATGAAATTAATACTACGCGGTAAAATAGTTTATATTGGGTGGTATTAGAAGTATTACTACCCCATATTAATTTAATACCGGTTCAATACCAATATGGTATATCTGTTTAATACCATCTCGGTAGAGTCACATTCAATACAACGTTTCTAAGAGTGTGTCTGAATTTCTATAGTTTTCTAAATGTTACTAATTTGGTTTGGTTAACTATTAATTAAAACATTACCTAATCCTGTCTTAGCTGGTGTTCGTAGGGGGACCAAAATTACTTATATTACTCCTGTCGGCTTAATAATTGGGAAGAATCGCAGTGGTAACATTGTGACGAGAAGTAATATTAGGGGGGAATTAATTTATCCAGAATTGGTTGTATGTTATCCTGATACTCATTGCGTCATTCTTTTTAAGATGGAGCAGTACAAGCTGTAAATTGGACAAGATAAACTCATTCCACGAACCCACTTGATGTTTAATTGCGAGATAATTTTAATTATGTTTATTCTCTACGCAATATGATTAATTTTGAGTTTATTAAATTAATTCGCGATGTAACAAAATGACAGTTTCAGGTGCGATATAAGAAAATGGATACTGTTTTTAATGGGAATTCCTTCACTTATCAATTCAATGAGACGTGCATGGACCGTGTGGTTCATGGACCAATTTTTGTTCGTCGACTGTGGACCAAAAATAATTGGTCCAAGTGGACCATGGACCTTTTTCTGCGAGCTATGGAGATGTGTCAGTTGCTGTCTTGTTTTCCAACCCCCTGAGCATTACATAGTGTACAATTTGAGAATATAATCTCATTCCACGAACTTACTAGGTGTTCAATTAAAATAACGGGTAAATATTACAATAAAATGTATACATAGTTGACGTAATTGATGTATTTATGATCGGGTTTCCCTGATTAGTTTGTGTATAAGTAAGTGTGTGGGCTAAGCAGAAATTTAAAAATGGGAATTCCTCCCCTTATCAAATAAATTAATGGACACATTGCATAAATGTATGACGTACTACAAATACTTTGGGTTCAGATATAAAATGGGGTCAGTTTTGTTTAAATTTGTCAGTCTATTTCTGACTTAATTTAATTTAATTTAACAGGAAAGACAAATCTTGTCAAAATGTTGCTTAAATTGTTTTCCTTCGCTCTTTGCCTCTCTTTTTCGCTGGGTTTGGTTCAAGAACTTGCATTCTACACGGAACCTAACGCTGATGGGAGTGGGTTGATATTCCGGACGAAAGAGGCGGATCTGACGCCGTACCAGTTTTTCTTGGCGAATGTGAAATCCATCTGCTACGGGGGACAGTAAGAAATATTTTTTTATAATAAGATTTTTTGGATATGACAGTAAAAATGGTTGCGGTACGCTCAATTACCGCATTATCGCAATTTTTAATCCAGATAGGTCTAATTATCTAGACATATGTTAAAAATTCTGCTGCTATTTTCTAGTTGGAAGAAAAATAATCAATTTGGATTATAATCACAAAAAAAGGATCGTCACCAGAGACGATTATTTTGGATTATAATCGCTTATTTTGTAAAAATAACCTGCAAATTTCAGTAACTATGGAAAATATGTAGCAAACAAATTTAAATCGGTGTAAAGAATCATGAGCACTCACAGTAGACGATTATAATCTATAAGGATTATAATACATGAAACGATTATAATCGGTTACTGTGAACACCTTAAATGAATTATTGAAATGTTTACAAAAGTTTTAAAACTTGGAAATTGTGTGCAGAATAAGCATTGCTTTTCCTCGTAAAATCTAAATAGGTAAGGGTAATAAAACTACTTTCCTAGACCGTTTCTTGTATTTATAATGTATATTTATACTCGACTCAAAGGAAAAGGTTGATCTTGCGTTCATGGCCGAAATAAAGGAATTATAGATCGTTAATCTTTTCCTTTGAGTTGGGTGAAGGGACATTCTCAAGGGAACTTTTGAAGGGTCTATCCCAGATGTGATTGTACATTGCTGAAGGCCTTCTTAAAATAATTAAGTGATTTGTTAGAAAAGAAGTAGCCAGATTCCCACTTCGGAAAAACCAGTCGTCCTCGTGAGCTTATACTCTTTGGATAATTTAGAGGGTTTTAGTGGGTTAATGTAAACCGGTAAATTAATTGTATTTTGATAAGTAAGTAATTTAAGTATGAATACTTGTCACATAATTGCCATCCCGGAATTTTTTGGGGTTTGTAAAGTCACATTGATTTAAATGAATGGGTTCATTTTTTGAATTTAATGTAGAGCTTGAGCCAATCAGGGTTACGAATTTTGTTGTATTTAAAATGGCGTCGAGTGGTTCATGCGACTGGAATAGTATGCCAGAATTGGTAAATGTTTGGGATTTTAGAAAATATTGCGAATAATTTAAAAAATGGGGAACTTAAAAATTGTTGGGTTCTTTAGGTGAAAATATATTTGCTGAAATATTTGGATGGCGAATCTATTGTCCAGTTGCGCTCCGTTTCAAGTGAGATGTGTCGACTTGTTACTAATAGTCGTGCGGCGGTGGAGAAGATCCAGATTTGCATAAAGGAGATTGGCGACATTGCCAAAATTAAGGATGATTCGACTACACGGTGGACGAATTTTAGAATTGCATCAAAGATAACTGACCACCCGAGAAATCTGTTGACCACGCTGCTAAAGACGTTTGGGGCGGGAAAAATTAAAAGAATTGGTTTTGGATTCCGCGCGGAATTTGAAATCAGAGAATTAAACGAGATTTTTAGTTCGATGCGGAATTTGAAAGTTTTACGTGTTTATGTAACGCGTAAGGTGGGGGAGTTGGAAATTGGTGTTTCGACAAGGTTGGAAAATCTGAGGGTTTTAGAGATTAAACCGAGCTGCGTGGTTGGGGAGTTTTTGAAGTGGGCGCCGAATTTGAGATGGTTGGCCATTTGGACGGAAGAATTGTAAATAAGTCTTTTTCGTACCCTAATATTGTAAATTTGTAAATTATTTATTTATTTTTGCAGCCGACGAATTTCCATGGCAACTAGGTATCGACGGCATACTCCAGTTTTACCTGCCCTCGAAGATTATTTGACAGCTCGATTTCAAAATTCGAGAAATACTGGGAAATTTTCCATAGAATTTAAGCAAACTAATGAAAACGGTGTTGATAAAAGACGTAAATTTTGCGGAGTTTTGACATCAATAGAGGAAATTTTGCACTTGTGCAGAATCTGTGGTCCCGTCGGCGTTGGGATTTTTGGCGTTAAGGCTGGCAGCTTTTGGCCGGCGAGTTCAAATTTATGTAAAGACGACGCACTATTTGGAGCGATAGAATCCATGACGGTAGGAGATTGGGATAGGGATCAGTATTTCCCCCCGCAATACAGAGAAGGGGCGAAACCTGTTAGGTATTTTGTGAAGTTGGGCGCCCACATGGCAGAGGCTGGGTGGGACGTGTGGAAAATAAAATTGCCACGCGATATTCTGACGGAAATTGTGGTCAGGGTGGATAGAGGTAAATAATTTTAAAGAAGTGCGGATGGTTATTGTATATTTATGCGTGACTACGAGAGCCGATTTTGGTGTTGATTTCAGCCAGAAATGAGAAGGGAGACTGGGCCACCCAACAGCAGTTTAACGGAATGGAGATCTTTTTTCGGGAAGTTTTTCACGAACGGGAGAATTTACGGAGGTTTGAACTTGTAGAGGAGAACTATGTCGAAGAATTGGACGAGGTGTTGAATCTTGTTGGAAATTTTGATCTGTTTCCAAATCTGGAGGAGGTTTGTGTAACCATGAAGTGGACTGGGGGGAGGGAGATGTTTCTGGAGAGGTTGAAAAAGTTGGAAATGAAGGGAGTCAGGGTTTCGGGAAGGTTTTAATGGGAAGTTAAGAAAGATGGAGGAAAGAGGAAGCGAAATTCCGCCCTGAATGGATGAATCTTCTTATGGTAATTTAGCTGTGTAATGTTTACCTTCTACTAGGAAATGTGAAGTATATAATGAAAAATTTATTGATTTCAGAATTGAGTGGATAATAAAAATATTTATATATTATCTTTCTTGACCTTTAAATTTCACACAAGATTTTTATTAACACACCTTGCTCACATAAAAATTCAGCCAGCAGAACTTATTTATTTATAAGCATCAAGAGCATATCTAGATAATTTGTGATTTAAAAATTTAAAAATTACTCATAACCGATTGATTTCAATCAATTCGATCACTAAATTTGACAATTTATTTATTTAAGCACAATCATGCACGCGCGACAACTCTAAACAAATTGGAATTTTGAATAATCATTAACAGATGTTTCGAACTATGTATTTATGTAAGGTCCCAAGCAGCCACCATATATCCTATGTCATTCTACAGGATGTCTGAAAATGATGTTCAGTTCATCCTAAGGACGACCTACTTATGATCTATGACGACCTTAGGATATTGTGAGGATGTGCAAATGTCCAGTGAATGCATGTCCCTAGGAGGTCGTAGATAGATGTGCAGAGGAGGTCCGGGAATGATATTGAGACGAGTTATATAAATGATGAATTTTGGATGGCGGCGAGAAATGAAAATTTAAAATCTTATTTCATGTTTCTCAATTTCAATATTTTATTACAAACAATATCAAAATTAATCGTTCAACAATTAAATTCTTAATAATAATTTCAACCATATGAAATTAAGCAATTGAATCCTTATTCTTTGCCTTCGGCTTAACCTGAAAATAGAGTAAATGAGTAAACATGAGTTATGTATTTTATATTTATAGAAATCAATTAGTTATATTGTCCACTGACGTTTTTAATGCGATCTGGTGCGTGTATCAACCAAGATGCACATTTCTTCTTGAAATCGTGCTTCGTTACTTCCGAGCAGTTTCCAGTGGTCGTGGATTTAACTGTATGAATAATAGTTAAAATAGCATAGTTCCGAATTGTAATAGTACTAATTCTCAATTAAAACGCATACTTACTAAAGATGGCATTCGTCAGCTTCAAGTCCTTAAATGGAAGTTTACCATTTGTTTTCCTTATTCCATCCCAGCAAAACTGACTTGCAACATCATCGGGTAGAATCTCAGTGTTGGTTTGGTCAGTGGTGATGGGTGTCTTATCAAGTCGAAGTGGTAATGACGACGACACTGGCTTTGACATCGTCGACACTGGCGACTCATATCGGTCTACGTCTGAAAGGGAATATTTACTATTTTAAATTTGAATTAGACATTATCATTAGACATTTTTAGCAAACAATTACGTGTCGTATTTGCTGTATCCTTCCATTGAGTCCCGGAACCTTCTGCTAATCGAAAAGCAATTTGACGCGATGGCTCGGGGGGTGGAGGTAGTGACGAATTGTGTTGAATCGTCTTGTTCCTTTTTCCAGATATTATTTTTTCACACTGGGCAGGACTATCATCATCACTAGAAGGAGCTGGAATACGGACGACATTTCATCCCTGTATGAAGTCGTCCTCCGACTCCAAATTTGATGTGACCTCGGCCTGGGGTAGATTCTTGAGGGCAGCGGCGTATGTTTCTAAAATACAAACCCAACATATTAATGTTATCCTTCAATAAGTTGGCATAAACCTATTTGAAAATGTTATGTAACGCCATCCTTGGATTTGGCGTCCGACTTGGTTCACGTACCCGTTAGATACGCCCCTATTTAGTATTTAAACCGCTTTATAGAAACTGGGAGGATTTCAAGTTTTAACCGAAATATATTTTAATAATTAAACTGAACGTTATATGTTACACTATTATATTGATAAACACTAAAACTAACTCTTAACCATAACCTTAAATGATACTACCACTTAATTACTACTTAGAACTACTTGTTAAGACTTATCCACCTAAATTTTAATTATTTCTGAGACTGCTCATAAGCCTGATGCTTCTTCTTCAATCTCCAAACCTGCTCTCTCTCTCCTCTGGTCGAGTCTCCCGGAGCACACTTCTCTCATCATCTAACTAATCTCTCGGCACTATGCCCTGGTGACAAACTATTCTCAATGTTTTGTAACAGTGTACCTAGTGACAAAACTAGTCTCAAGTTGCTCCTATCTTTTAAATGTTTTGTAACAGTGTACCTAGTGACAAAACTAGGCTCAAAATGTATTTCTAGATTACACAATCATATCATCATCCCCCAACAATCATATTTATATTTGTAACGACTAAATATCTATATGGTGGAGTATTACTTAACAATGTAGCATCTACGTCATGAATATTGGTGCTATATTGTTGCAGTTAAAATAAGATTACCATATCGTCCAAGAATCTTTGCGTTGTTAATTACCCAAGTCTCCATTTGCACTGGATATTGTTCCTCAACTGCATGGCTAACCTTCTTGGATGTCTTATAAGGGGCCACCAACACTTTAGCTGTCCTGTTTCATTATTCTCGAGCCATATTTTAGGGACCACCTCCACCTCGCTGGTTTCCAGGAAATGGACGATAGCGTAAATTTTTCTTATTAACAGTGAACAAGAGGAAAAGCAATATTGACACCTTTTTCCTTCGAACAAGCAGATTCGAAACTTAAATTGTCAGCTTTTGGAGGGTCAGCCGTGACTAAATCAGTAAGAGGGGAATCTACAACTACTTCTTGAACAAGTTTACTTTCTGAATCAACAACTCTAAATAGTTCTGCACTTTGAAGATTTTTTTCAATATTTTTACTAATTTGTCTGTGAATTTGTTTTTGAGATAAACTATACAATTTTTTTGGCATGTTTACAAATGAAGTTGACACATTAAACTACCGCCATAATATTACTGTCGAATTTCCCCATGGCCAGATTTATCATCTTAAAATGATGTCCGAAGGAGATCTATATGTGAGTAGGTTACGGCACAAGATAACATCATAACAAGATGCACGCTGGAACTCTGTAGGATCACATTGTTGGACACATCATGCAAACTCCGACAATGAGCTGAATGAGATATCCCCAGGATAATGGTGGCCGCTTGGGGTATGATACTAATATAAATTTTTGCTAAGTTTCAGAATTTTTAAAATACCCGATTCTATGCATGGGAGTGAATGAAAAAGATCTTCGTTTCTCGTCTGATAGAGAAACGTGAATTTGAATCCAAAATTCAAACGATATATTTAAATTTAAATTTAATTTATATTCCAATCATTAGTTTTAGTTTATGTAGTTGTACATATATTTGTGAGCTCTGTATTAAGGTTTTTATCCGTGATTTTATTTTTTTGTAATTATCTCATCCCAATTACGTGCAATAATTTTTGTCCATATTGATTAGAATGTTAGAAGTCAAAGTAATGAATAGCTCCAAGATAAATTTCTTCCTGAAACGATCCTTTGACATTTAATTTGCGGTTGATAATTCGCATGAACATAACCCCAAGACCAAGCAACGATTCCAGACAATGAGTCGTTTCCTCCTGTACAGCCAATATGTTTCCAAACTCCCCCACTTCCAACCATAGTGTACATATCGCAGCAGAGTTCAGGAGGGGTGAAGTGACCTTGGGTGATTTCATAACGAACTATGCCATCAAACGGTTGCATGGTAATTTTCGAGGTACATGTCGAGTAGGCGGATGATGCAAAACAGGTTTCCCCATGGATGCAAGTGATCAGGAAGGCCAGGTAGACTAGGGCGAGGAGGTAGGTAAGTTTCCTTAAATTGTTGGCCATGTCTAAGGAGAAATAAAAGTTTAATCAATTAAAAATTTTTAATTGATATTGCAGGTTTATTCCAAGGGCATCTCCATTGGAATTATTTTGATTCTTGTAAATTTGAACTTTGAGCCTTGGTCAGGACCGAAGTTTAAACATATATATAGAAGAAGTAAAATAATTCTAATGTTTTGTAGGTTAGTACTTAATTATCTGAACCGGAACTTCCGGTCCGGAAGTTAAATATGTGGTATGGAAGATGCATGTTAACCATATGATAAGGTAAACACGCAACTTCAACTATCTGATAAGGTTCGTTATGAGAAAGTTGAAACATGTTAAAGGTTGTAACTTAACAAAATACAAAAAAATACAAATATTCTAAATCCTGCATAAGTTGCCGTAATGCGTTCTTCTTTAAGGATTCTCGTTTATTGCTTATTGAAGATATTTAAAAATTCCTTAATATTTTTAAATATTTAGAAAATCTAAAATGCTTAATTTTAAATTTCTAAAAAATTCTTCCAAAAACTAGATGATGTTATATTTTATTCTCAAATAAAATTTAATGTAATGCGGCAAAAATATTGATACCTGTGAAACCAGATGTTGAAATAAGTTGAATATTTTCAGGTATCACGAAATAAATCTTATTGATGCTCATACTCCGTTATGCGAACTCATTATATACGAATTTCATTTATTTCTGAGCTATTAAATAAATCTCTTCTCAAATTTACTATGATGGAGGATTACACTGAATGGATTGGATTAGAATTTATTTTCTTTCCCAGTATAACGCACATACACAAAGCAGTATTAATTAATTGAAAAAAGGTAATTCTAACAATGTTAGCATTACCTTGTTAACACCATAATCTATGGAAAGATGTTAAAATTATATTGTAATTTTTCCAACTTTGTCGGTCCTACATTGCAATTACAAATTGCGGGATTAAATTTATTAATCATGATCCGTATGACAGTAAAATAATTTCTTTTGCGGTTGAATATTTTACAATAGTCGTAAATTATATACATCCTTTGAACAAATGTTCATGGCACCGCTTAAAAAAACCAGTTGGCTGATTTAAATGCAAGAAATGCAGTTTTTCTACGGCCACTTTTTTGCAAGAAACGTAAGAAATTTAAAACAAACATAGAGGTTATGCACAAATGGTTCACAACGTGCGCAAAAAAAAATAAAATTCGCAAGCTCGTAAGATGTTATCATGGAAATTTGTCTTGTGAACTTGCGTATTTCCTTGGCTATTTTCGTTAGTTAAAGGTTCACAAATCTGTATTGTTGCGATACGAACTTGCGAACCTTTCGTGAATACCCTCACAGAATTTACTTAGCAACCTGAGGAACGTATTTATGAAATACCTTAACATTATATAACTAAAAGCCTAGCTATAAAGTGAAAAATAAACTATCACGATTTTTGGCGTGATTTATGATCCTCTGTGGGTTACATTGATCAGCCACGTCAAACTGGTGTCAATATTTAGATCAATATTTAGTCAAGAAGGATATATTGACATTAAAATGCTAGTATGGTCAAGTTTCTTGACCATACACTATATTATTTATAGACGGATAATTCTGAGCACCCAATAATTTAAAAATACTTAATCATCAGCTTTTTCATCAATTTTTCCGCAATGTCTTATTAAAATAGTCTATAACAAAATAATTGTATGGTTAAGACGCATCAATTTTCATTAAGTGTAAGATGATTGTGAGCTGGATGTGACCATTTTGTATACATAAGAAAAATTTATTGCAGTTTCTTACATTTCCTGTGGTTTTTTTCATTTCTTGCATCATGAAAGAGATTTATTTTCTGCGCAAAAAACGCGCACGATTGCAAATGGTTCAATATTGCTGTACAATGCGGTCTGGCAAAAGTTTTTAAAGATTATAAGATTACTGTCACTTTTCAATTCCAAAATTTGGAATATATTAAAGTAAGGAATTAACTGTATTTTTATATACAGAAACACAGTTGCGCAGACATTAAATATCTGCGCAATTTAAGCCATCGTATTGATTGATTGATTGATTGATTGATAGGTTTTTATTATAGGAGTCGTATGAGCGTCAGCACAAGTACTGATTTTCAGCTCTGGACTCCGGAAGACAAATCTCGAATATAATTTTGAAATAAACTAATTAAAATAACCTAATTAAAATTAAAGCTATAACTATATTACTTAATAATGTCAGATTATGTTTTACATTTTATATTTCACGCTTGTTAATAATGAACTCTTTAACCTTGTAACAGAAAATTAGGTAAGACATATCTTTGAGGGTCCAGTCTTTGGGGAGATTGTTCCATAACTTGTACATTCGATACTGTAGTGACCGCTTCATTGATTCAGTTCTGTGAATAATCGCGTTAATTTTTGGCATAGATAAATTCAAATTTGTGCTTCTGTCAGTAAAAATTATTTTGCCCAGCGACCACCTTTTGTACGTGTCTTTTAAGGTTACATAGTCAAAGTTAGAAAATTACAGTCGTTTCTAATTTTTGCCATGTCTTCAGATTTGCGGATTTTGGAGAAATTGAGAACTTTGTGGGCTTTCCTCTTGGCGATTCTCGGGTAAAAATAGGAACAAAGGAATTTGTCTATTTTCATTTGGATAGTGTCTAACTTTTTGTCGCCTTGAATCGCCCAGATGTCTAAACAATAATCTGTTACAGAGTGTAAATGTGCGTTGACCATCGCTTTCATCGACTGAATGTTTAAGTATCTTTTTACACTTGTAATAAAGCTTATTCTACTACATATTTTCTTTAAAACTAAGTCATAATGAATATTAAAATTTAGGGCAGGATCTAAAACAATACCTAGATATTTAAAGCTGGTCACTCGTTCTATTGTGTGACCTTGTACAACAAATGGTCTTATGTTATCTGGTAGGGAGTCGTGCTCTTTACAGAATAGCATAAATTTAGTGTTACCGAAGTTTACAAACATTTTGTTTTCTATGAACCAGGCACACATTTTGTCAAAACACGACTCCGGGTTTGTTAATTATGCCTTCTGTGTCACAGCCGTGGGTGTGTATTACAATATCATCAGAGTAAATCAGAAAAGGCAACCGTAAAATTGCTTTTATAACCAACACTACGTAGTTTACTTTAAAGGTGATAAAAATTGTCGGCAATGTTCCTGGTTCACAGTTTCCAGCTTATAATTAATATTAAGATAAATCATGATAAATTTTAGTGTCATTCTAGGTAATTGTAATATAAGTAGTAAATAAATCCATTTATATGAAGCTTACATATATATTTGGTGACCGGAAAAAATGGTACAGGAAAATATGGTATATAAAAAAATGGTACATAGAAAAAATAGTATACAATAAAAATGGTACTGCTCTTTGGAAAATTAGAGCAGGAATGGAACGCAGAAATTTATGTCACAATGTTATCTAATGAAAGATGAAAAGGAAAATTGGAAAAATTATCCAACTATACTGATTTTTTATCTCCTTCAATTAATTGAAATTTTGTATTAAATTTTAAAATCAATGGGAGGCCCACCGATTACAAGCTGTTCTAATCAGATAGAATTGTACCTTATACTGAGCATTAGGCAAAATTATACGGAATGGTTCTACTTTAATTTTTTGGTCGATGCACCCGTCGGTGAATATTTTTAGTGTTTTCTACGTGTTCCCCATCGTTTTCTGATATGGAAAGCAGTCGCAGTTTCCAGGAATTGAAAACTATAAAGAACATTCAAGGGCTCACTTTCCTTCGTTCAAAAAAAACTTTGCAAAATCATTAAATTAAATTTTCACTTCGTTTTCAAATTGATTTTGAAAATGTTCCAAGTAAGTCAAAAATATGAGCAATGCATCATTGGACTCCCCTGCACTCTTAGAAACGTGGTATTGAATGTGACTCTACCGAGATGGTATTAAACAGATATACCATATTGGTATTGAACCGGTATTAAATCAAAATGGGGTAGTAATACTTCTAATACCACCCAGTATTAACTGTTTTACCGCGTAGTATTAATTTCATACCGGATCAATACCATGGCGGTAGAGTCACCTATCAATACCAGCGGTTATTGATTTTTTTAAGAGTGTGGCATTTCTTTATTAGGAATAAATGAAATTTTGAGCTTTTCTTTTAACACCGCTGCATACTGGGCAGTGATCCGAGCGGCGTCTAGGACGCCGCGGAATGGCGGAGAGAAAGCTTGTGAGTGTCGCCAGGATATCGTTTTGGATTTTTTTTCGCCAAAAGTGGTTTTAAAACATTGTGCACATGATAGGCAGCATTTATCTTTACATTGTGTGGAAATCGAATTTAATCGAGTGCCCCAAGACCTGTCTAACGCCCACGATCATTATTTTGTCCGCAAACTTGTCACTTTTTCGGATGCAAACTTTTCTATTTCATTGTGGGACTGTAAATAGCAGATTCGGCGTAACCGTTACAATTTTGAATGGAAAAAAGTGCGTCGTTCAATGTTACAAAAAGTTTGACTTTTTTCCTGCAAGATGAATCCGGTAGAGCGTCCGAGAAGTTGACTTCCTTATTTTGTGGTGACGCGGTTGGAGCGCATGCACTGTTTTCATTTTAAGGGTCTTTTTACTTAAATCGTTATGAATACTTCGGTTTATTGTGTGCTGGAGGACCTTACATTTCTCCGCCAACTGATTTTGCGATGCTAGATTTTCTTTTGTCGTTGCAGGAGCAATTTTCCTGCTCAGCGTCGGTTTTCGCATTTTCTGGGGGTACCGATTAGGAGGCTGTGGAAGGCCCAAATCGATGACCTGATTTCTTTTTCCGATTGAGTTCTTTATTCTATAGTATGTACTTATGGAAATTGTGATTTTTTGATATCTGAGTTGCTTTAGTATTTTTTTATAGGTCAATCCAGCCGCGCAAACTGCTTTTACAGCATTGAACACTTTAGGGTCAATTTTAGGACCCATATCGAAAATTTCTGATTTCAAATATATGTTTATATTATCTCAGTGAATTTATCTATCATATGGTTTTTAAATTTCGAGATTTCATTGAGAGGGTAATTTGGTACGACCTAAGGAACCATTCCGTATAATCTTGCCTAATGCTGTATAATTTCGGTCTACCGAAACACCAATTTCATTTTATTATGATAAAAAATTTGCATAGAATTATTTCTTTTTAGGTGAAAATAAAGTCATTTGTAATCATTTTCACTGAATAAATATTCCGTATACACTTGGGTGGGAATATTGGTAGTAATGATCTGCTTCAAGCTATCAGCTTCCAATGTCCCTTGGCAATCAGTCGTGGCCAGTGTAAAATTTGTAGACGTACATATTAGGGCCATGTTAAATATATTTAACATTAGACACTGACCTCTGAGATATGACATGTCCGAGAACTTTTGAGCGATGCACTATGACCCTGGAGGTCAATCCTTCACCGGAAAAGGCTTTTACCATACCCTCCACTTCGGGAGGGGATTTCTTGGGCATTATTAGATGTATGCACAAAGAAAAAATATATTTCGAAGGATAAAGGTTTCCTTTTCATTGACAATTTTTTTCAAAATTTTCCCACCAAACATTAGCGAGATATAATTTCATGAATAGAGCAAATACAAAAAATTCAGGCTCTGTGGTTAATTCGAATGGAAGGGAGACCATTAATGTGGAATATAAGACCCCAGTTGGACAAGCAAAAATGGAAAAACGGTTCTTCATACGTAATATGGTAATTAAAGGAAATGAAACTTTGGGTGATTTGAATTTTACATGATTCATTTATTTGCAGTAATGTATTTTTTGCAAAGTGTATATAAGTATGTGTCATAGCTTGAAGAAGGATAATATATTTAGCAGAATTAAATATGATGACACTGTAAAACATTATTTAATCATCTCCCAACTCCTCCGTCATATCAATCCTTTTTTGGTAAAATTTCACTTCATCTGTAACCTGCTGCCAACCTTGGTCAATTTGTGCTTTCAAAATATCAACAACATTCCTTCCGTCATTGGGAAGACTTCTATGAAAGGCGTTTCGAACATACTCTCTATCCAAGACAATCTTCTTTTCTATCAACGTGAAATCCATCATTCTCACAAAGTGACCCCATTTGACCAAAATTTCCCAAACATTCTCCCCAACGGCATCCTCCTCCGCAAAGGCTGCCATAAAATCTATTCCATTCGCAAGTGCGACATTGACCAGACTTCTGACCAAGGGAAAGTCATCCACCCTTGCATTAGCGGCGACATGGAATGGACTCTGATTGTTTCTCATCTTTAGAATCTCTGCTTTCTCGCTGGGTGTTAAACCAGTGTTAAAATGTTCTATTATTCTATCATACAAATAAGTGTTGCCCGGTCCTGCAAATTTTATAGCCATTAAAAATGCGGTATTTCCAGAAGTTTCCTTCCTCTCAAATAAGGCTTCGTTCAGTTCCTCCACATTTAAATTGTTAGTCATCCAGGCCCACAGATCTGCGTGAGAGTTTGAGTGCACTACTGGAAATGGGTGGTGAGTTTCTCTCAGGAATTTCATAAAATATTGGGACTCTCCTATCCCTGTGTCTCTGCTAGTGTCAGTAATAACGTACGGGATTGCGTATGTAAATAGGGAACCGGGTGAGAATGAGTTTTTAAGAATTTGTGTCTTTAGTATATCTGGACAATCAGATTTTACTGTTTTTAATAATGACTGAAGTTCTGATATTGCTCCTTGTCTCGCCTTGTTGTCGAAGATTGTTAAGTCGTCCTTGTCCAGTCCTTTAATAAATGAGTTCAAATTACTTTAATAATTTGAAACCAGTTGCTTAATAAATATAAAAATTACCCAGTAGAACTTGTTCCTTTTCCTCTGTAGATAAGGCGATTCCAGTTGTATTTCCCGTACAAGCCCACCTCAGGTACAATTCTTTTTTCAGAATATTTTCTGGTAATGAAAGTTCGGTTGTGCAGAAACCGTATAACTTCTCCCATGCCTCGAAATGACCAAGGCGTGTAGCCATGTTCAAAAGGGAAACTTCACCCTCTGGAAAAATGGAGGTTTGGAGAGGTTTTAGGAGTCGACGATGTTTTATTTCTTTCAAAATAGAATCTAAAATCACCACATTCGCCCAGACAGAAGACCAAAGCAGGGTAGATCCCCATTTGTCCTCGGAAAAGAATAAGTGCGAGACTTCTTCATCTTCTAAAACTCCTCGAGTCTGACCTACCAGCGCAGTAAAGGCTTCGTCACGTCCAACGATGACAGAAAAAGAGGACAGGTAACTGAAATTGTCTTCACCGAGGCCAAAAAGTATGCGTTTTTTCTCATCCATACCTAAACAATCGGCGTATTTGAACATAACGTTGACAATTTCGGCACTCTGTGTATCCTGCATTGGTGACTGTTGAAAACCGCACCTGCTCCCCAAAAAATTTTTGAGGGTATCCACCCCGTCAGATAACATTTTCACACTTTTCAATACAAATTCTAAAATGTTGGCGTTTCCATCTTGATTAATGCGATGAGTAAATGTGCAACCTTCTGACCAATTCTTATTCATTTCACGTATGAATGATTCCCCATACCTACAAAAAAACAATGGTAAAGTATTTCAAAATTTCAAAAGATTGTCAAAAATTTAAGCACACATACGATTTGAACTTTTCCACTGGAATGGATCCCATCTCCTTTAATTCTTCATTGATAACTTTCTTCAACAATTGTAGATATCGAGGTTGAGCCACTTCCCGAACAATGGCAATCTGAACGGCTTCTGCTATCTCGTCAATATCCTCCACTCTTAAATCCTTTGACAAATAACTTCCAGCAAGATATTCAGCAAATGCGCGATGAACACTGTAGTACGAGCTACCATCATGGTAAAATATTCCTTGCCGAGAAATAAGTTGGGGGTCAAGTTTTGCCGACATTCTTGGAAATGCGCGATTGAGGTCTGCATTCTCCAAGACACCTAACTCCTTCAGAGCGAGGAATTCATGTTGATCCCTTACGCTGGCTTCAAGTATTTCTGAAGTGCCTACAGATCCGTCGACAGGTATGTTCATCTTGTCTTTCGTTATTTTTAACTTCTCTCCAAAGACGGAGTCAAAAAGCTGGATGATGTTGATCTTCAGGGGAGAGAGTGACGTGATATCTTCACCAGATACAAATTCTTTTGCGATTGGAGCTACGTGATCAGCCAGTAAGAGGATAAGTAAGGGCGTCGTCATGGAGCCATCGTTTGTCCACTGTTGCGAAATTGCAAGCCAGGATTGGCACAGGCTAATTTGCTGCGGCGTTCCCACCCACCCTTTGACTAAATCATTTAATCGATTCGATAAGAGCGCAGTGGCTGAATCCACTGACAATGGAAGAACTTTGTAGGATGGACATTCTAAAGTGTGAACTAGTTTTTCTTCAAAATGGTAGTTTGTAGAAATCCACATCCGCTTCATTGTAGATTTATTCAAAATTTGAAATAATTTCAGTAGCGTCTCTTCATAATCGGGGCAAACTTCGTCAAAACCATCTACAAAGAAATTCAGTCTAGGCCCATTTACGGAAATTAAACTCTGACTTAAAATGGTCCGCTCGATTTCGTCAAGTTTGATGGAGTTGGCGATAAAATCAACGGCGTCATCCTGTGTCATGCTGAAAATATATATGGAAACCATAAAATAATATCTTCAAGTAATTAATATGTAAGTGAAATTTTTTTATTATTTAACTCACGTTATTAATTTAGTTTTCAAAAGTTTCAATTCCGGGATTACTTTCCTTAATTGGAGAAATAATGTAATATTCCCATCTCGTGGTTGGTTGGTTACAAGATTTGTCAGGAATGCAGACTTCCCCTGTCCACTTGTTCCCGTTATGATAAGTATTTTGTCGCTCAATTCATTTACACTGGCTGAAAATTGTAATTGCATTGGAGACTGGGGTACACATCCCATTGAATTTCTTGATTCAGCAATTCTCCCCTCAACAAAGTATTCAGGCAGTGGTCCAATTGGCGGTAGGTGGAACACAGTGCTTTCCTTTTTAAGCAAGTTATTTAGCAGTTCCATGACAACGGGAATGTGAAGATCCGACACGAGCATCGTCTTTCCTTGCAAATTAACTTCCATATTCATTATTTTATTTTGTGATTTCTTCTGCAAGTCATCCCACTTTAGTGCAATTCCGTCACGGTTTTGTGATATTATAATAACTTTCACCCCGATGCCGTCTGCAATTTTGCCTGCGTTGTAAATCTCATCGTCATCCATGCACGTCAGAATTGCCACATCAGTGGTAATGTGTCTCTGATAATCGAATTCTGCTGCTACTAGGTCACCAACTCGAAATATTTGGTAGGATTTTTTATTTTTTAAAATTTTCGCGACGACATTAACTCCAACAAGTAGATCGATCACTGAAATATTTGTCTTTCTCTCTAATTTTTCTACTTGAAAGTATTTTATATGGGTTTGTTCGGTAATATTGAAATCTGTCACTTCTCCCTGAAAGTATGCCGCTGTCGTAAATCCAAGATTTCTGACCCACTCTTTAGCACAGTTTTTCATTGCATTCAATTGCTGGGGGATGAAGTGTGGATTCTTTCTCATGGACATGTCTACTTCTGCGACAAATTGGTCCGTTGTTACATTTTGTGTAGTTAACTGGACCCCATTGAACCCCCCATTTCCAATTGTTACAACGTAGCTTTGCAACATGCCCATTATCTCTGGTGGGAGGACATCATTCTTGATAACGTTTAAATCCCGTACGAGTTCAAATGCTTCCAGAAACTGTTTCACTTGAGGAGTAAAAGCTGTCAATCTTCTCCACTTCAATACTTCCTCTGGTGAAATATTTACCATTCTGCGATGTTGTAATTTGTGTAGCTCTCCGCCACTCATAATTGTTGTGAGTGGATGGTCGAGTATTTGTCTGAGGTTAGCGTTTTGCTGTATGTTTTCTTCCTCGTCAAATAATGTCTCAAAATTGGCTACACTGTGGGCATTAATATTTCTTAGATTGATTTTGTAACATCCTGCAAGGTCATAGAAGGCTGGACTGAAGCTGTACATGGTTCCAAGATGCAACCCGTAAGTATTGATGGCATTGGGATCAGTTGTGTAATTAGTTAGGTCCAGACATTCCAGGATTTTATTATTGACATATCGCTCTTCTTTAAAAAAGTTGCTCCATAGTTTAGTCAAGAAGTCCTTGCTCCCTTTTGTTTATATAAAATAATTAATATTTTAAAATTCAGACAAACAATATACAGCATGACAGGAAAGTTCGACCCGACCAATTAGACTACAAACTGAACGTATTAATAAATTGTCAGTGTCTTATCCGAATTTCACGAAAATTGGTATGAACATCTTTAATAAATAGAGTGCTCCAAGCTATAAAACCACCACTGTATTTTGCAACAAATCGTGTATACTGTAAATCTTGTACTAAAGTATGGCTTTCCTTTCTCTACATAATTTTCTAATTGCCTCCCAGTGCGAAGCTGGTCGTGTCGAACTTTCGTGTTATGCTGCACATGGTAAAGAGAAGATATGTACCGGGACTTTCAAACCCGACAACGTGCACCCGATATGTGTGGATCGCCCTAGCTTGGATTTCATTTTCCTCAAATTGTAACCACTCCATGGCAAATGCCTGTAAGGTACTTAGAAATCCTCCTAGGGAATGACCTGTAATGATATTGACAATATGTAGGATAACATGTTTGAATATTTTTATGTATAATTTATAATTAGCAATAAATTAAGCCATACCCACCAGTCACATTAATCTGTAATATCCCACCCAATTCTTCAACCACATCTCTAACCTTGAGAGCAAACGTGATTGCAGACAAGATGTGTGAATTGTCTAAGTTGCCGTTAACAACTGCTCGTATGTCTGCCCAAAAGGATCCTAGTGAGTCTGTACCTTTATTGACGATTATTATCTGAGATGTCTTCGCATTGAGGAATAAGGCACCATGATATTGATTGGATTTTGCATTGTTGTGAACTGTGGTGATAAGTTTAAGTGGTTCTTTATCTTGCAGTAGGATTTTTTCAGGATAATAAATTGCATTAGCGAGTCGATATAATTGTCCATGGCGAGGCTGGCAGTATGCAGGGGATTGAAAGTTTATCAAAGTTTGTTCAATTTCACGTTTAATATCGCTGCAACTGTAGACCAAAGTATCGTCCTTTTTGAGGGTTTGCTTTTGTGTCAAATGTCTAAGAAAATTAAATGATCAATTGGTAAATAATTTTTTCAGTAAATTGCTAGTTTCATTTACCTTGGATCATTTGTATTATTTCCAGAAACCAACTGTGACGTCATGTTGTTGGTTATGTACTCTTTGGCTTTCTGAAATTTTTAATACAAAAATATAAAAATTTATTGGCATTTTATGAAATTTAACTTTATTAAAAAAACTAAAAAAATACAGGATGCAAATTAGTTGGTGTGTGAATACTTTCTATATTTAGAATTGCGATCTATTAAAAGCAATAAATTAAAGGATACTAAACTTACAAAAAGAGTGTAATTGATAAACAACTCACTTTCTCAATTTTTATTTATTTTTAAATACGGAATTGCAATATTGTGAAAAATTTAGTAAATCCAGGGAGAATCGAACCCAGGTTTTTTTAATACATATCACTGTTTTCCACTAAGCTACCAAGGCCACTGGCTTTTTCACATTGTAATTTATTTCGTATTTTTTTCTCACTTTCTCAACTTTTCTAAGCACCACTTAAACACAAGGTCAGCCTGTATGAAGAAAAGTGAAAGTAAAAGTCTACCACTGAAGAGTGTGAAAATTAAATTTCGTTGAAAAAAATAGAATCATTTAGCTCATTCGAAAGTGTGAAATTTTCTATAACAAATTACGTCGTGTACTGAAGAGGGACAAACTTTTTATGTCGCATTTAACTAACCTCGCATTAAAATTTAAACCTCGGCATTATCTAGATCGGCGGAAGTTTACAATAATTTGTCCAGTAATCAAATAACAAATCACACGTGATATGGACATTTAAATAAAATCCTAGCAATATTAACGGGCAATGCAAAATTCCTTACCACAAATACTTACCACAAAAATTGCTCAATTCTAGAAAATCCGTTGCACATTTAAAACCACAATAGTTTCAAATATTTTCCAAACTGTACTCTCTAAGCTTCTCCCACTTGCCTGTCACTCCACGCCACTTATCCGCCCTGATAAGGAGACCACTTTCAATAATTAACAGTCAAAACACAAATGTAAAATAAACTGTCCCGTCCGCGACTCCGCAAATTAACAATCTTCCAAAAAATAAATATTTTTCCACCTGCGCTTAATTAATACAAGAATTTAATCAGAACAACTTTTGAAGCTCTATCTTTATCACAAAAACGGTTAAAAATTTTCTACTTTTTACCTTTATTTATTTAAATTCAGTAAATTCGGAGAATAATAATAATACAACTAGAAAATCAGCCGGTTCTTTATTTGTAACTTTTCCTCGTTTTTACCACCACTCAATTCATTCGCTGACAGAGTTGGTTGAGACGCATCTCAACTCATGTCATCAATGCATTGATGACATCAATTTGATGACGTATGCATACTCTGAGGTGGTAACAAGTTTTCACTGCGGAGGAGGTAACGTTATTTTATGGAGCCTAATTAGTGTCAAAGTGGGGATGAATGTCGCCATATATTTTGCGTTTTTAATTCGTGTCACATACGTGCTTTTTTGGAAATATGGCCCGAAAATATCACCTATATAAGTATGTATTTAATTGCCAAAACAGAATTTCTAAACTTCTTGACAATTAAGAGTGAAATATTCATGAAAGGATTTTTTACCACTGCATTTTATTTATGTATTTATCTCTTTTGCAGCACTGATATACACAAAATAATTGGAATTTCATGCATGCAAATACTTACTAACTAGTTATAAAATGTCGTATACATAATAGTATTATTTCGTAAATTGAAAGAAACAACAATTAAGTGGGATATGTGATTTTCATTATGAAAGAAATTTTCGAATTGCTTAAAATACTCGAATAACCTTCCTGTTCATCAGAACACATCCATCATTGATTGTGCTTAGGGTCTGCATAAAAAAACGAAGTGTTATTACTTGAAATTCGAATAATTTACTGTTTTTTATTTATTTACCAGTCCCATTGCAAATAGGGACGCCGCCTTGTAAAACTTGGAGTAATCATTATCGTCATAAACACCGTCTATGCATTCCTTGTTCAAATTGCCTGACTCAGCTTGCGATAAACTCCAATCAAATAAATCAGAGTGATAATTCCATTGGACGATGTAGAACCCAATGTATGAAATGTAACACATAAATGGGGCGATGTCAGTACGTCTAAATCCTTCAAGGTATATCTGTGAAGACCCGAAATTACAGTTATTAAATCGAATTAAGTAACTTAAATTATAATTATGGCATTAAAACGGGATAATATTTTTATGTTTTCTGCCGAGAAATTTAAATTTAGATTGAATTTCTATCAATGAAAAAATTCACAAGCGAGATTCAAGTCATTACCATAAATTTGATCTCGTTTCACAATATACCAGAACAATTAAAAGAGTAATAAATTATCCCACCTTCTTAAAAAAATGGATCGCCAGCCCAATCATGATATTGATGTGGAGCATGTCAATCAACATATCCACGTATTCTGGCGGACTGACTGGATCAGCGCCATCCCAACCATAGGAAATAATCCGCATACTTCTGAACAACAAAGTAAAAAGCAGACTCACATTCCCGAACGCTATAATAATGGAAGGAACCACGTCTCGCCAATCAGCAAGAGAGGTTAGTTCGGAAATGACTTCCTTTACGGTTAACAAATTGGTGCTTGTATCTTGTGAATCAACGTCTGAATAAATGTGATCCACGAAGCATCCATAAATACCATGGAGAGCGTACATCAAAATCAAAATAAATGTGAGTGGCATTGGGAACAGAAAGTAAGGTCCAAATCCATCATCAGGAGAATATTTCTGAATTGTTTCGTACAATTCGAGTAGGGATAAAATAAGCGCTATAACGCTGGTGAATAGCCTGTAAAAATAATGAAAATATTGTGCTTACAATTTCGGAAACGTCACATTGCAACATAAATTGTGAAACAGGTATGTAAAATTACGCAAAGTATCAGAATCAAAATATATTTGCGGAGCTTGTAAAAGTTGCGAACTTCTAGGGGTTGTTTGTGTATATTTCGCAACATAACTTCGAAAAACACTTACACACTAATGTAGGAGCGATGTCTTAATCGTTGAAGTTTAATCCATCCCAAGAGAGCAATCATGTCGAGAAAGGGAGCCTCTAAAAATCCATTTAGATTTTAGTCTTCTTGGAAACTATAAGTTACTAAAATGCGAACTGATACCTACCGATTTGGTAACTTCCAAGATTTGGGCAGATGTGATACATCGCAGAAACGAAACCTTCCATGATGAGCAACATTGCCAAACCTTTATCCAACCCGGACTTGATTGGAATTCCGTATTCCTGATTTTCCAAAATTCCTTCACCTTGGTGTGTCTTTGTTTCAGTAGGATTCGAATCGTTGTTATTTACTTCTTCATTTGATGGACTTTGATTATTTTCCGCAATATTAGAGACATCCCCTTGACATGAGTAGGTATCTCCGTCGGAATTTGTGTCACAATCTGATGGCAACTGATTTTCTTCTTGGGGCACAGGTCGTTCGGAAATTACAGATAGTTGATCCACATCTGGTAATCTTTTTTTTAAATTTTCCGCAATCTTTCTCTGCAGCTTGTCATGAATTATGACGAAAATAAAATACGCCACCGCAGCTAAAGTAAAGGCTGAACTGGATACGACCGAATTCCACAGGAAGAATTTAAACCGCAAATTATGCCATATTCACATCTTGAATTCAATCGGATAAGTGCACAATCTGTTGTAGTAGCAGTCTGACATATCGGAGGTTGCTGTTATTGTCTGGTAAAAAAATGAAAATAGAATCACTACAAGATTTAAAATAATTCTTCATTACCAAAATTCGATAGAGGGCACTGCAGCAAAAAACTGTCATTAAGTATTCAATCGCGCTGCCACTCATGTCTTTGAAAAAATCTGTTCCTACTTCATTTGACGATCGAGGTTTACTTGATGCGTAATCCGACAAGAAGATGATTTTCTTATAATAGTATGGAATTCCTCTGAAGATTCCTAGGCTAGTAATTAGTTCGGAAAATATTTAAAAAATGTGGCGCGAAGTCATGATGAATACTGCGATTGATATTAATTGAAACTAACCTCTTCGAAGGTTCTTCTTTATCATATTTATTCAAAGTTATTTCGCTCCCTTCCCTGGTGATATTGACGAAGAAGCTCTTAAATTATTTTTGAAGGCTGTATTGTCGTATTTTCCTTACCTGATCCAAAAATACCAGGATAGTGATGCCACCAAAATAAGTAAGGTCACGTTTGACACCATAAGCACAATCGGTGTAGAGAATAACCATGTTGTAATTTGTTTCTTTTCACCGGGATCCCATGGAGATTGGGAAACAGTAACTTCAAACTTTGTAGTTCTATTAAGTCTGTAATCACTAATATTTCCATATAAATTAGTGCGACATCTCTCATCCGTCAGCAGGACGACGATCGCTAATGCGAAACCGTCCTGTAATAAAGGCTCCCCCCAAATAAGGTCATCCCTCTGTAGAAATAAATACGTATTTAAAAGTCTTTATGGATTTAAGGATGTTTAATTTCTTACATTAATGTGTATCACAGATAAGTTAAGTACGCTTTGTGATCCTTTCGCAAAATCGATAGAATCCCTTGTATCGAAAATGGGGCACTGTGCATAGTATTAAAAAAAAACTTATAAAAATTTGAATGAAAGTCTCAAAAATACTGAATGATCCATTTAAATTCTAAAATGGGAAGTACCATAATAATTTTATCTCAAAAGTTAAGTGACATGTGGCCTCATAAGAAAAATATTGAAATTACGTACAGGTTTAAATTGTCTAATTTTACGTAAAAGCGACTTATTTTTGAATAATTCGAGATTAACTAAACACATTTAAATTTAAATTAGACGGTGGTTCAAATTTGTATGAAGTTTGCGTGTAGGTGATTTATGAATTATGATAATAGTTATTCACTCTATTTGCGAGAGCGGATGAATTACTTCCTAAATATAAAATATGATTGGCCAATTTGTGGGGCGATAATATTTTTCTACAATATCTCAGTCACTAATAATTGGTACTTATTCTAAGAAAACTTCAAAACAATCTTAATATGGATTCTGTACGGAAATTACTGCGCAAGGTACCGTATCAATCCTCTTGGTAACAACAGTTACCGATTTAACCCCATTGTTTTCCGGATCAGAAAAATTGTAGATGAAATACGAGGACATCGTCCCGGTCAAGGTATCAGTCGTGATTCCTTTGTTTAACCTAGGTTAAATTTTCTATAATAAAATTTCTTAATTAATTTTGGAAACTTAAGACTCACAGTAGTTTAAGGTCCTGCGATACTTGGACATTAATTTGAAAGTAATTATCTCCAACCCCTACCCCCTCCGTTTCAACGGTTACAATTAATTTGCCTACTTCCTCCATGGAAGGGGTAAAACATAACGATCCTCCAGACTCATAGATCCATCTGAATAAAAAAAGGTAATTCAAACTTTATATTTGAAAATGTTGTGTGGGAACTAAAACAGGATCAAACTTTGCTAACGAGATGGGCCCCGTCTCGTCTCATCTCATCTCCTAGTGAGATGAGATAAACCTTAAATGAGCTCATCAGGATGTCATCTCGTCTCATCTCGTCTCATTACCGTCTCATCTCGTCTCATCTCATCTCATCTCACTGTAATATGAAGTTACTCAGATAGCCATCATTTACCCGACTACATATTATCGAAAATTACATATTATTGAAAACTATTATTGAAAACTACATATTATTGAAAATTTGCTAACATTTATAAAAAATTGTATTAGAAATGTATATAAATATGATAATGTAGTGTAATGTCTACCGCACATTTTATTCTAACACAATTTCTGCTTAATAATTATTTTTATTGAATACTTTAGATAGTAACTGAGATGGTCTCATCTCACTATATCTCATCTCATCTCACGACCACTCATCTCATCTCATCTCACATTTATTCCGTCTCACTCATGTGCCATCTCATCTCACTTATTTACCGTCTCATCTCATCTCAAACTCGTCTCATCGTGAGATGAGATGAGATGGTCTCATCTCACCGGCAACCCTAAAATAAATGCTTTCATGCATATACATAAGTGCCTTCGTGTAGGAGTATTTATCATATTTATTTATATATGGATATATATCTTTTTGATAAAACCGCATTATGTAGAGACCCACAATTTTCACGTTTTTAATCGAATTTTATATTTTTCTTTATGAAATCCATAATACATTTCTGGATTATCATAATAAATACATCGTAGGGAT